AAGCATGGCACTGGGCAGCATCAAGGACCTCAACTTAATACTGAACGCCACCACAGGACAGAACTCCAAGACACTCAACCCAATCAAAGCACTGAAACCCATCAAGACACTCAGAACAATCAAAGCACTGAGCCCCATCGAGACACTCAACACTGAAAGAAAAGCAAACATATACACACAAAAAGACAGTTACAGATCTTTCACAACTGAAGCATATTTACTGAAGCAGATGTATTTTCTGGACCTTTTAATTCAAATTAAAAGTATTATGTAACAGCACAATATCAGATCTTTACCATTCCTAGCTACTGAATATTTTCAATATTTAAATTAGTATTTAATGCAAGTGCAAAAGATGTATTTCTGTAAAAAAAGAAAAAAAAATGACAAAGTGCAAGAATAAAAGGTGTGATCTGAAAAGATCTCTCTATTTAACATTGAAAAAAAAGTGTCTGAAAAGTGAAGGGCGCCTCCATGCGGCAGCTCTTTTCTTCAGAAGTTCATCACTGTTAACAAGTAGTTAAACGTTTATGCAAATTATAGGTAAACGATGCTTATAGTTTCATTGTTGCAAAGTAAAAGCTCTGATTGGTTCTGCTCTAGGATTGGTTCACAGACATAAACATTAATTCTTGCCAATGGACACAATATCATTGGTAAATCTGAGTCAACAAAAATTACTCACGCTGGTCTCTGATGTCCATCCCACTGTCATCTGTTACAGTTTAAAGAAACAAGTCATTTCTTAAATCCCAAAATAAGCAATAGGTGCATGTGCAGTTGAGAATGATGAGAATATGGCTATGATCACATAAAATACAGTAATATAACACAGTGACCAGGATCTTTTATTACAAAAAGATTTAACTATATGTGTGTGAAAGTTGATTAGATGTCATTTTTGATCCCATCACTTTAATGTAAAATCATAGCAAAGATTAATGGAAATCTATGTATTATAAAATCAAAAAATAAATAAATAAAAATTAAGCTGAAAAGGGGTAAATTAAAAAAAGGTATTTGGGTGTATTGCAGATCTTACTAATAATATATAACGTATATCAGACCAGTGTTTAAAGCAGAAATAACATGAATAATATAAAGTAGCTGTGAAGGGCTAAATCTGCATCTGTGGCTTCAAGACCTTACAAGAAAATGAGGTCAACCAAACAGATCTGCTAAACTACAGTGCTGTTACTGAAAATGTTAAAAAGCTCTTATTTCAAAACCAGTATGGAATAGATTAATCTCCACTAGCAGATATATATTTACACTGTCATTTATATTTACATCTACAGAATGTGCCAGATGCTCTTGTCCAGAGTGACTTACAAATAAATCATGTTGCAGAGCTGTGGAAATTAAGTGCTAGGAGTCAAGGACTCTTGTCCCAGGCAGCAGGGACTGGGAGGCTTGTAGAGATTGAGAAAAAAAATTCCAGAGAAATTCTAAAGGGAAACCTTTTTCAAGAGTGCTCCAGCCCTCGCACTGAAGTAAAGATTCACCTTCCAACATGACAGAGACCCACAACAGACAGCACAGGAATATCTTTGGGATGGTTTGTGAATGCCTTTGAGAGGCCCAGCCAGAGCCAGCACTGAACCAATTAAACATCTAAAAGAGGGGTACAGCAGCGCTCCTCATCAACCCGCCAGATCTTTAAAGGTTCTTCAGAGTGGAATAAGAGAAGAGCTGGTAGCATCATATTCCAGAAGACTTTAGTCTGTAATTGTTGTCAAGGTCTCTTCCACAAGTACTGAGTATGACAAAGGCTCTGAGTACTTGTGTGAATAGTGTGTCGCTGTTGTTTCATTTAGAAAATTTTGTGAATATGATTTTTTATTATGGAGTATTGTTTGCTGATTAATGAAGAAAAACACATTTAATCCATTTTAGTGTAATGAAGGGGAATGCAACAAATGGAAGAAAATGTGAAGGGGTCTGCACAGTTTTTGAAGGCATAGTAATAAATCACTTGATAAAAAGGTGTGGATCAGTAAGCTTCCTCCTACAAAGCCACTTACTGCACTGCTTATGGCCTCAACACAGCAGACAGAATGAGGAGTTAAAAGAACTTTAAGGAATCAACCCATAACATAATGATTAAGGAAAACATGTAATTTAATATTCTGAACCTTTTTTTTTCAATGTTTGCAACAGGCAGTTGAGACAGACATAAAAAGTTAAAAACAAGCATTTACTAAGCCAACCCTTCTTATTCTATATGTAGTCAATCATATAAGACATGCAAAGTTTGCATTTACCATGTCTTGTCTGGTTGAATACATTTTGGTTAAACTATCACCTCGTTTGAACTAAGAGAATGCCACACTCAGTTTAAAGGTAATCAGGGCTGAGCTTTATTTCAGATGACTGGCTCTCCTGGCAGATGAAGAAGATCTGACCTTACACTAAATAATGACCCTAGAATGCATAAAGGGGGTCAAATTGACCCAATAGGGTGTGATTTTTGGAATATTTTACAAACGACAAAACAATTTAAGTCCTTACTATTGCATGTATTCCTCAAAAAGTGTGTGAGCCTCACAAACATACTTTCTATATTTCTTTGTCATATGTTCTGATAAAATAACACATTTATGTCTACAAATGGATTAATCAAAAATAGTTGTAATTAAATCAATTTCAACATTTTCCAACAATTTCATTTTTTTTAACATTTTATAGATTTTGAAATGTATAAATCTGCAGATATTCTAAATCAGCAAGCTTTTAGTGAGTTAGCTAGCTAACACTTAATTAGCACAAAAAATAAATGTTGAGTGTTTCTGTGAGGCTTTCTATATATTTATTTACAGTACATTTACAGTACTGGCCTTATAACAATAACAAAGTATCACAAAGTTGCCTGCATTATTCCAGTGATAAAGACAGAAACAACAACCGGAAATAAAGTGTAAATGTGGAGGATTTGGCCTGTAACAATTCATAACATTCAATTTTTAATAAAATACATATTGCTCCATTGCATCTTGTTTAATTCTAAATTAGTAAATCGTTCTGTAAGGTGCTAAATGGGTAAAAAAAGGATTAGTATGAAAATACAGAGAAGCAAATGGATCTCTCAGCGACTCTTACAAAAAAAAAATTCTTATTAAGCCTTTCTTAAAGCCATATCCCAAATGGAAGATAAAACTTGATATGGTTCAGAATCTCCAGATAGCATGCGGATGTGGCCATTTCTGGCAGAAATATGGCAGATCTGCTACCACTGACACTGGCAAAATATATTTAAAATATATATATATATATATATATATATATATATATATATATATATATATATATACATACATATATATATATATATATATATATATATATATATATATATATTATTTCAACAAAGAGAAATGCTAGCTTAAATGCTCATTTTAGTTAATTCAACACAATCTGCCTCAATGCTTGGAGTCCTACTACATATCATAGTTTGTAGTTTAATTCAGATTTAGTTTACAATGATTTGTGGCTGCTTAAATTTTTGCGTTCATTAAACAGAATTGATCTGATTTTCGCTGAACTTAAACTTTTCTGTCAGGCACGTCACTTATTTTAAATCAAATAAAACTTTTTCACGGTGTAGTAAACATATTGGACATGTAGGCATGTTAATGGCAGTACCTGAGTAGTGCAATGGACTAAGCGTTTGCTCTTTGATCCAGAAATTGTGAGTTCAAATCCTGTCAACACCATAGCCACCTGCAGCTAGTATTCCAATAGTGTTAAACACCACCTGTCCCTGAGTCTCATGGCACTGTGCAGCATTCCCACCCAACAGGGCTGTTGTTGTAATGTCCTGGTTTTGTACTAATGGTTTTGAGTGGTGGGTCAGTTCTGACAGTGGCGGTTTAAAGGTGGCTGAGATGTGGCCCTGTAATGTGAAGAGGCTGGGTTTTTCTGTGCCATTTCTCCATGTGGTATGTGGGCCGCACCTAAACGCCGGATGTGGCGCAGGTGTGGGCCATATCACATGTCCTATCTGGGTCATCTCCACAAGCAGCAGTTATGTTCATCAGGGAGTCTTACAACAAACAGATACGTTTACACGGTATTGTCAGCTGGTGGCAAACTTACAGACAATTAGAGAAACTGGTGACTGATCTACAGAGAAAATAACAATAAGCTTCCTCAGTTTTAAAACTCTAAATACAAAAGTTTAATATCAAAACAGTAGCCTTAATCTGTTAGTTCTACAAATGGATTTCTGCAGCATTTTAATTTTCTGCACGTTAGCAGTGCCAAAACTGCTGTATATAGGACTGAAAGATTGTTTTTATATAGAAATTGCAATTTAAGAGAGTGCAGTTTTCAAATTGCAAGAGCTGCAGTTTTAATTATAACCTACATTATCAAAAACATGGTCAAGTTTTAAGTGGGGAAATCTGCCGTAATAACACAGAGTTCGTAAACTTCCTGTAGATAAATTAGATCAGTCAGAAGCAACCAAACCTCCATGTATTGTGATATCACAACCACAACTTACTGGCTCTCTGGCACACTACATTCAGGGGTCAAGCCTTAAGCTATAAAAAGTGGATATTCTGGTCTTCTTGGCAAAAAAGACTGAACCTTAATTTATAGAAAATAATCACAATTTAATTTGAAGTCACAGCCCTACTCTTATATAACTCTTGTGATAGCTCTGATTAAAGGAACAAATGATATACATTTGTACGCAAAAGTCTGAACGCTGCATGAAATAACATGTTTTGTTGCTTTAGAAAATAAGTAAACAGGGTTTTCAGTATATTTTATGCATACATTTTATGTATATTTTACAGATTTTATTATTTATTTGGTAAATTTAACAATGGGGGGAAAAAAATCATAAAATATAAAACGTGCCATAACTTTTGCACAAGACCAAATTTGTTTATTTTTTCCCAATTACCTAGAAAATCAACAAGACATGTCATTTGACCAGAGGCGGGCACATTGTCGCACACGGCTATAACTAAAGATGCTTTTTCAAATTGTTTTCATTCTGTTTCTGCTCTTTCATGTGTTACTCTATGCTGTTTGAAGTACTTGTTCAGTTTTGGTATGAGCATCTTCTCTAATTCTGCTTTTAATGCCCTCATTTCATTTAAACTGTCCTGCAAATGCATGACCTGTTTTCTCGTCTTCCACACAAACCGTCCTGCGTCTGACTCCAGCTCTTCTTCCTGCACTGTGGAAATGAGTTTCAGTTTACTGACGTCTCTAAGTGTTTTGGTATCTTTGGTCATAAAGGGTTGAGGAGAAATAAATTGTTTGATGTTTTCTGCCATTTCCAAAGCACTCGTTCCCACTGCTGACAATCTCAGCAGTTCCAGTGGTGTAAACAGTTCAGCAAGCTCTGATAAAACACCTGCACTCTTTCTGACAGCATCATCATTGTGATACTGCAGCATCTTCTCAACATGCTTACAGATGTTGTTCAGAGGGCTGATGACTCTATCAGCTGTCATGATGAATATTTCCAGAGTTGTCTCTGCTTCCATTAAAAGTTTTTTCTGTTTGTTTTTGTCACCAGGAAACACTGTTAATACACCCACAGTTGTTAAAGCTCCAGTCCCAACTGCACTTATCACCATAGTCTCTAATGCTGGTGTACTGGTATACCAGTCTAGAGCACCAGAGATGGCAGCCAGAAATGCACCTATAGCCCCAACTCCTACTCCTACTCCAAGTCCAGCTCCTACTGCTGCAGCTATTCTCCTTCCTCTACACAATTTAGCTGCATTGATAAAAACCTCTAAAAACTCATCAGTCCATATTAACATCTGGTTGATAATCTGTTGGAGTTCAGGCTGATGTTCTTCATAAAGGCTTATGAACTTACTGCTGCTCTTCAGGAGGTCATCAGGTAGTGCTCTATCATAACAACAGACAGAAATAAACATGTAATAGGGTTAACAATAGTTCAATAGTACATTAGAGGAAGTACTAATATCTCACAGTATAACATTCTATGTCTACTTTTGTAATTATTATGCTTATTTTTTGACACAATTATGACACTAACGCCCAATCCTATTTCACCCCTCGCCCCTACCACTTAGCCCTTAGGCCTCCGTTTTTTGCATAGGGATAGGGTGTCTTGATTTTTGTTGAGATAGAGGGGCGGGGTGAAGAGTTGGGGCTACATGGTCCTCCAGACAGAGGTTTTTCAGAGGCGCACTCCATGCAGTGTTATGAGAAAAAAAAAGAAAAACTGGCAAGATGTCTGCGTAAGCGACCAAAGAAACCCACAAATGTGAGTAATTTCTCATTTAAAAAATTACAATAACCATAATTTTGTCTTAGTTTAATGTTATTTCAATGTATAATGGTCCTTTTCTTCATAACAACCATAAAAAAAATCTATAATAGTATAACAGTATAATAGTAGTTCTTTCCACCTTAAATAGTCCAGCAGTACTGATGCCTGTAACACCAGAATGTAACTGCTGCTCCATTTAAGGTGGAATGAGAAAATTCGAACAAGAAGCTGGCATATAGCTGACTTCAGCTCCATATCACTGAAGAATTAGGGTTGGGTGATGATAAATCATTGTCGTACCCCCCTCTTTGAAGGTATATGATTCCTTAAATTTAACTAAAGCCCAGCAGTGAGGTTGCTGAACTTCAACCTCCTCTGCTGTCAATGCAGACTGGCAGGGTCGACCTACAGAGCACCACTAGTAGCTTGTTAATGAAGTAATGTTCTGTTTATTTGAGCGTTGTCCCATTTAGTAAGGAAGATTTCAACCACTACCCCTTGTAACTCAGTTCCAAGGGGCAAGGTGACACTCGAAAACAAGGGGTAGAGGTAAAAATAAGAAATGGGACTGGGCCTATAAATCATTTATTATCCATTATGTTTAGCTACGTTCCACAAAGAAAGTATTTTTGAAGCTAATAGACTTGATAAACTCAGTTTATTTCTGTAGGTTGTTGATGGGGCTGCAGCATCAACTGTCACAGTGGTTGTTAGCTTTTTTGCACTGGCTGTGGGCCATTGAAAAGAAAGTTCCTCAAGTGTTCCTTAGTAAAGAAAATGGCTCTGTACAGAACCATGAACACTGAAAGAACCCTTTGCATGATTAAATGTTTCTTTGCATAATGAAATCGTTCTTCAGATGGATGGAAAATGTGCTGTAGATGAAAAGGGTTCTGTATAGCACCAAAAAGGGTTCTTCTACTGTAACAATACTGATATTGTAACACTAGAATAGGGCTGCCATTTGGTGCTAACAAAGCTAGCGGGGGCTAACAAAGTATGCAGAGAAATAGATGGACTACAGTCTGTAATTGTAGAACTACAAAGTGCACCTATACAGTAAGTGGAGCTGATAAAATGGACAATGAGCATAGAAACAAGGAGGTGGTCATAATGTTATGCCTGATCGGTGTGTGTATATATATATATATATATATATATATATATATATATATACACACACACACACACACACACACACACCCACATATACATACATTGGTCACAAAGTATATGAGTTTCGGAGTGAGTCTTTGTTAATCTAATTCATGACTAACAAACCATATAATCAATAAATCAATAGTTCCACTAACCTCTCCTCAGCAGAGAAGGCTGAATGTTCTCCATTGCTGCTGTCAGCAGTGGCAGAGCTGTCCTCCGCTCTCTCGGTACCCTTTTCTGGCATGATTCAGCTGGAAAGGAAGCTGTTCAGGAAGATGTACTGCACTAACAACCTGACTAGAACAACCGGGAAAAAAAGGAATTTCTCTTTCAAACGAAAGTAATGTTTTTACACTTCTAGACAGAAAAATTCAGAAACAAGCAAATTTTATATAAGATGAACATATGTCCTCTTTTATGGACCTAAAATTGTGTGCTGCAGAGATTTCTGAATTGCCTAAAATGTCCAGGATCTGGCTTTGCTTTGATATTGATATTTGCTTTCTATCTGCCCTCCAGCCCATCCACTGTCCTCTTTTCTGAAAACCAAAACACGCCAAAATATGCTCTAAATCAACAAAAATACTAAGGTGATCTTTTCACTGGACATACTGGTAAGAATTCCCCGGTCATTTTAAAACGTGGCATATACACAGGCTTTATGTTGGGTTTCTAACAACCTGTAAGTTGGTGAACCTGAAACATCCGAGAGATCAGATTCAATCAGGAAGTGAAGGAGACGCTGCTGTTTGAACATTAAACCTCACACTGCCAGGAAATACTCACAAAAACAGGCCCACTGCAGAACACAACCACAACTACAACCACTCAGGTGTTTATACTTATTTACCTGCTTTTACGTCCACGTGACAGAAAACAAGAAGAAATATAAAAATACAAAACAAAGGAGAGCAAACTCACAAGTCTTTGTTCTGAGAGGACAAACTTCTTTCTTTCACGTGTGCCCTCTCAGCCAGGTGTGCTATCAGCACGCACTAAAACCGTGTGACTCCCGGTCACTCCCGGGCAGTTCAGAGAGGCTCTCGAGTCAGAGCGGCGAGTGTACAGACGCGTTCTCACCGATCACAGAGCTCCGCGAAGAGCGCGTCGTACTGCCAAGCGCTCTATACGTGCGTTCTGATTGGCTGAGCAGCGTGTCAACCGTTGCTCCTAACCCGCCCGCATTCCTCGCTAAAACCCGCCCCGGGCTCTTCTGATAGGCGCTCATGCGTGAGGGGAAGAAATGCATCTATATTTTGCTAAATTATGTCATTGACAGAATATTTTCTACTCAAATGTAGAATATTAAAAACGTTTTTAAGGAACGTGGGCTTTTCTACAGTCTTCGTTATTAATGTGTAAAAACATCTGTAAGCCTCCTTAACTTATTAGAAATATGACACACTGTGAACTACATATGACCACATCACATGTATGTATGTATGTATGTATGTATGTATGTATGTATTCGTGATCCTGCCTATTTTGAACCTGCACTGTAAGCTGTGATGGCCGAGAGGTTAAGGCGTTGGACTCGAAATCCAATGGGGTTTCCCCGCGCAGGTTCGAACCCTGCTCACAGCGACCTTTATCTGCAGCTTCCTTTCAGGATCAAAAGAAGTTCTAGCAGTTGTTCTTGATTGTACATTTCGAGAGTTTGAAACAGAGAACAGAGCGAAATTTCCTAAACCAAAAACACAAAGAAGTGTTGAACAGATTGCATGACCAATTGAACAGGCACAACAACTAGTGTGATTAAACCAACTATAGTTAGTATATATATATATATATATATATATATATATACAGATATATACAGTAGATATATCAAATCTACCTGGTTACTGAAACTCCTATTTGTTAACTCACTGAGGTTAGTGTCATATGTAGCTAACACACACACACACATTATCTAAGTCCATTTTTGTCTAGACCACAGGTGGGAAGGCAAAAAACACTGTGGACAGGTCGCCAGTCCATCACAGGACAGATACACAGGTATACGCAATCATACACACACACACACTCAGGGCCAATTTAGCATCTCCAATTCACCTGACTGCATGTCTTTGGATTGTGGGAGGAAACTGGAGCACCCTGAGGAAACCCACACAGACACAGGGAGAACATGTAAACTCCACACAGAAAGGACCTTGATCGCCCCGCCAGGGAATCGAACCCAGACCACCCTAAAACAAACAATGAGATTAATTAACATTAGCATACACTGAAAAGTGGACACATTCTACAAGTCTGAACCTGACTGAACATCTCTGGAGAGACCTGGAAAAATTGGTACAGCAACCTAACACAGTTTAAGAGGTTCTATCCAAATCCTAAATCCAGTATGGCAGACGTGTAGCCTTCTATCCAGAAAGACTTAAGGCTGATTGGCTGCCAAATATATTTCAACAAAGGGCCTGAATACTTGTGTAAATTTGATTTTTCATTTTTATTTTTTAAAGAAATGTTTAAAACTTGTTTAAGCTTTTTTTTATTATGAAGAGGTTTTGCAGATTGATGAGAAAAGGTGCATTTAATCAATTTTAGAATAAGGCTGTAATCCAACAAAGTGAAGAAAAAGTGAGGGGTCTGAATATTAATATTCTGTAAATAAAAACTTCATGAAAGAGTACATAAAAATATATTGATTGTTATATCTCTTCAATGTGTTGCTTAAAGTTTCAATACAATGGGAAGAGCAAAGTGTTAAAACTCATCCTAAAGAGTTCAACCAATCAGAAAAATATAGCATGCTGAACCTTATTCTATGTTAGCAGAAGGCAGTTAAGACCCAAACATTTACCTCAAATGTAGATTAGTTAGAAGTTAGATGTCTAAAGTTTGCATCTTACACTGGAGCTATGAGGCTACTGTAGCTAACATGTCTTGACTGACTGTATTTGGGGGAAATTTTGTACATTTCATCTTTGACCAAACTAGTTTACGAGAATCCTGAGGCCGTATTACAGAAACTTCTTAACTCAAATCTTATCTGTTCAGTCACCATGACTTCAGTTAGGACTGGATTTAGGACAGAAGCTATTACAGAACAACCGTTCTTAAGTCCATAATCTTATCCATTAACTCCAGATAAGAAAACTGTATTACAGAAAAAACCTAACTAGACAACATTTCCTAAATACTGTCCTAACTTTAAGTCAACCCCAGAGGTGTCTTAATTTCAGTTTTAACTGACCGTTTCTAACATTTTTAGGCAGTGACTGGCAGCATAGTTCACTGCTAGTATAATGACATTACATTTATTTATTTTGCAAAATGGTGGTTTGACTTTTGATATATTTTTCTTTTTAAAATTCTCTGACGCTGCAGACAACATTAACACACAAAGGTAATAGAAGGGGACTGTGGTTGGTGAAGACATGGCCTCCACCATCCCCTCTTGTTACCTTTGTGTTAATGTTGAAGGAAACTCATCAGATAAAATATTACAGTGATTGTGGTGAATAAGGAGGAGACAGAGCTGAACGTGTGTCTGTTTATTAGAAGGAATAATTAAAGTCGTTGGCTAAAGCATTTGGGAAACTGAAACTGGGGAGGAAACAGGGCTGTCACAGTATTCTTAACTTCCAGTTTTTTGCACTTTAGTTTTGTTTTGATCCTTTTTTACATCTGTAATGGTAGCTGTAACTTACATTTTTTAACATTATTTTGATTATGTGTTTACATTACAGCTGTGCGCATATAGACAGCTGCTTGGTAACAGACACGGTAGTTGATTGTCGACTTCGCCTGAGTAGCTCAAGATTTCCTAAGTGAGATAAAAAGCTGTAAGATAAGATAAAATTCCTGAATTATGATACAGTTTGCTTACAAATTTGTGACAAATCTTATCTTGACCTGTCAGATCTTAAGTTAAGACAAACAGATAGGAAGTTTCTGTAACACGTCCCTTGGTTCTCATCAAATGTGTTTAGAATAAATCATTAGTCACCTGTTAAATCATTAGGATTCTTTACATTATGATATCAACCCCTTAAAAAAGCAGAACACCACTACAACATTACAAAAACATTAGGAACCAATAGAAACACTTAATAGGTACTACGTTTTTTCCAACTGGGAGGGCTCAGCTCCTTACTACCTCTGCACTTTGGTTCAGAACTACACACCTGTATGCCAGCTTAGGTCTTTTGGGATCTTGACATGTTCTTCCTTACAATCAACACATACAGTAAAGCCAGTTCTCGCTGCTTTAGTGTCCCTCAGGGGAGGAACAAACTTTCCCCGAGCTCTGCACTGCGCGGTCTCCGAGTTGCTTCTGCTATAGTCTGAAAATGTATCTTTACAGACAATGCCAATAAACAGTTTTTAATCAGTTTCTGCTGTTTCCACTGAGCCTCGAGGGACCCCTTGAGTAACAGCAGAGGAAGTATGAACCTGAAAGAACAATAAACACATTTTTATCAAGTATACTCTTAAAAAGAGATTGTTCTTAAAGGGTTTTTTTAGCAAAGACAGTAGTTCTGCATAGAACTATGAATATCCAGAGAACCATTTGCATGCTTAAATGGTTCTTTGTATGGTAAAACGTCTTCAGATTGATGGAAAATCAAGCGTTGTATACGGTTCTCTATAGAAATATTTTGAAAAGGTTCCTATATAGCACCAAAAAGGTGGTGCTTGTGACAAGCTTGTAACAACAGAAGAACCTTTTTTTTTGGTGGTATACAGAACCCTTTTTAATTAGATTTTCATTAAGAACAGGCTATGAAACAAATTCACAAAAGACATACAGAAGTTCTTTAAAAAATGTTTTAACAATGCAATTATTTTATCTTGTTGTTTTGCATGATTTACAGAAAAAAAATATTTTCTGATTTCCACAATCTAACTTTGCATACATCTATACCTCAGTATGACACAGAGTGGAAAAGTAAAGTTAGTCCAATTCAGTTTAAGTTGCAGCACTTTTTACAGTAGACATTATCTTTAATCCAGAAATCTGTATCCAGCCTATTAATAAGTAAACCAAGGCTGACAATGGCAGGAAATGTCTCTGTCAAACAGTTTATCACTGGATTATCCAGGAGGGCAAAATAGTCTTCCGTAAACCCAATGCATACCCAGATCTGATGTACACAATTACACCATTGCAGCTGTTAATGATTCATTCCTTTATGGCACTCAGGAACTGAAGACCCATCATAAAACGCATTTGTGCCTTATTCAGGAACTCAGGACCCTGCAACAGACACTGCAAACAAAAAGGGAAATAAATGCACAGGCATTGCACCTTAAAAAGGAAATAATGCACAAGCACTCACTTATAGTAAGTATAATGGTATAATGCACAGGCACTGCAACATAAAAAGTACAAATAATATATAGACACAGTAACTTCAAAAAGGTAATAATTTACAGTGCTGCTCAGGGGCTTCTACCTGCCGTTGGCCTCAGTGGGCCTCAGACCACTGGCTGAAAGACTAGGAACAGTCCACTACAGAGGCAAAAATTATATGTACTGACCCTCTGTGACTACAATTAAAATGAAAAGCCCCCAACACCAAAAATGTACAGAAATATAACTGGAGGAAATAATAAGCTATTGCACATTATTTATGAAGTAATCATTTTGGTTACATTCCTTTTTTTCAAGCACTGTTAAAAGCACACATAAACAAACATGAGCAGTTTATTATAGGGCCAATATCCATTATTTTTCTTGCAATCAATAATTTTCCTTGAGGTCCATTTATGCCATTTGTGTAGTTTTTGTGCCAAAACCTGGCAAAACACATTTTTCCATGACCATTTTCCAACTTTGTGCCTTGGAATTAAACAGGCTGTTATTGTAACAGTGCCTGTAAGTTTTCTTCCTCTTTAACTTCAGCTGTATCTGTCTCAGCACACCAGGTGTTAGCTTTAGTAATTTTACCTTGATTTGCCTTAGCATCAATAAAGATGAATCAAGCAAAAAAGCACCTGTATTCCATTACAGTTGCAGTAAAAAAAAGACAGCGGTAAAGTTAGTTTCGTTGTTGCATGTATGATTTTTTTCTATAGTTTTTGAATGATGGGTGCAAACTATCGATATGTGGTAATTATCATTATTTGTAGCAAAGTCGATCAGCTCCCAC